AGTGTATGTGCAGCCGAAGCGAGCACGAGTTATAGTTCTAACATATAGCCTCAAAAAGGTAAAGTGAAAGGACTCTGCCTCATCAAGGAAGTGAAAAAGATGCCAGACTTAGGATTGGGGGTTTTTCTGCTCATGATGTAGTTTTTGGCTTATAAACTCTCCACTCAGGTGGAGCAGAGTGGTATGGGAGAGTAAGACCAGCTCTCAGAGGGAGGGGAAGTGAGTGGTTTCCCTTAATCCGTTCTGTTTTCCAGGCCCAAGGAAGAAGTCACCATCAAGAAGGAGAAGCGTGAAAGGGATAGAGACCGACAGCGAGAGGGGCACGGACGGGGCCGGGGGCGCCCAGAAGTGATCCAGTCCCACTCCATCTTTGAGCAGGGTCCAGCTGAAATGATGAAGAAAAAGGGTACAAAGCTGCTGGGGCTCCAGGAGGAAGGAATCGGTGGATTTCAGTTCAGAGGGCAGAGAGAAGGGCCAGGGCAGTGGAATTCCCCTCCTAGCTTCCTGCTGAGTTTTCCTTGCTGTAGGGCCCTTCCTTAGTTTTACTGTGTGGTTTCCCTCAGGGAACTGGGATAAGACCGTGGATGTGTCGGACATGGGGCCCTCCCACATCATCAACATCAAAAAGGAGAAGAGGGAGACGGATGAAGAGACAAAGCAGATCCTGCGCATGCTGGAGAAGGATGATGTAGGTGCCGGTGGGGGCGAGGGGCTTCTTTGTGGGAAAGCACTTCCTCTGGGGAGCCAGGCAGGGAAGCCCGGTGAGCGGCAAGGATCTTGGGATAGAAAAGGGCTAAGGTGGATTGCAGCCCAGGTATGTGTGTGCGCTGGCCCAGCCACATGACCCCCGACTCTTCTTTGGCAGTTCATCGATGACCCTGGGCTGAGAAATGACACTCGAAACATGCCTGTGCAGCTGCCGCTGGCTCACTCGGGCTGGCTTTTTAAGGAAGAGAATGAAGAGGCAGACGTTAAACCTTGGCTGGCTGGCCCCAAGGAAGAGGACATGGAGGTGGACTTACCTGCTGTGAAAGGTACTCTGTGTCCGTTCTTGTCTCATCCCCTTTTCTCTGGCCGCCCCCCAGGAATGAACCTCCCAGACTGCTGATAAGCGGGTCCCCTCCCTTTCCAGGGGTCAAGTACATGACCTGAACAAAAGGTGCTAAGTTCTCACTCTCAGTGGGTTCCTGCTGAGATACCCCTTTTTAGATAAGTCACACAAATCTTGGATCCCTCTTTTTTGAGGGGGAGGGTGCGTTAGGTTTATTTATTTTTTTTAATGGAGGTACTTGGGGATTGAACCCAGGACCTCTGCATGCCAAGCATACACTCTGCCACTTGGGCTACATCCTCACCCCCTGGATCCCGCTTTATAACCAGAGTTTGTCCTCAGCCTCCAGGCTGAGTGACAGTGGAGCCGACTGGGGCGAGGGCTTGGGTGCAGTGAGATGGCACGGCGGTGGCCACCTAACAGCCCTTCCGTTTCTGGTACCTTGGGTAGTGAAAGAGGAGCCGCGAGATGAGGAGGAGGAGGCAGCCAAGATGAAGGCTCCTCCCAGAGCAGCCAGGAAGACCCCTGGCCTCCCGAAGGACGTATCTGTGGCAGAGCTGCTCAGGGAGCTGAGCCTCACACAGGAGGAAGAGCTGTTGTTCCTGCAACTGCCAGACTCGCTCCCCGGCCAGCCACCTTCTCAGGACATCAAGCCAATCAAGACAGAGGTGCAGAGCGAGGACGGACAGATGGTGGTTATAAAGCAGGAAAAAGACCGGGTACGCTCAGGAATGAGCCCCATGAAAATGCGGGTACCGGAGGGGAAGCGGCCACTTTGGAGGGAAGTGGAGGTGTACCGCCCACACTGAACCATGAGGACAGTGTGCGTTTGTTCCTTCTACCCACGAGGCTTGCAGCTTGGTATTTCAACCCCAATTGTATGTGTGTTTACTTTCCACAATGAAATATTTTGAACATACAACAAATGAGAGAACCTAAACCTTCATGTACCATCACCCAGCTTCAGCAGATACCAATATTTTGTCCCTTTGTTGATTTATTTGCTGTGGTTTTTTTTGACCAACTGCAGGCGGCCTCAAGAAAAGGCCCTGTCTGCGGAGCTCATTCTAACCTTTGCTGCTGGTGCCTTCCTTTTGGAAGAGGTTCAATCATGAAGGTTGGAGGAAACAGCTCCTTACCCGGCTTCTGTTCCCTCTTTGTCTTCACAGGAAGCCAGGTTGGCAGAGAACACTTGTACCCTGGCTGACCTGACAGAGGGTCAGGTTGGCAAGCTGCTCATCCGCAAGTCGGGGAAGGTGCAGCTCCTCCTGGGCAAGGTGACTCTGGACGTGACGATGGGAACCACCTGCTCGTTCCTGCAGGTGAGAGCCTGCAGGGCCTGGTCGGAGGCTCTCCAAGGTGTTGAGCGTGGAGGAATTGGTGCTGAATACGGGGGAAGGGTTCTGGGGATTATCACGTTGGCACGTAGGACTGAGCGACGGGCTGTGTGGTTCTGGTTCTCATCACCGTCTCTGTCAATTGGCAGGAGCTGGTGTCTGTGGGCCTTGGAGACGGTAGAACCGGTGAGATGACAGTCCTGGGACATGTAAAGCACAAACTTGTATGTTCTCCCAATTTTGAATCCCTGCTGGATCACAAACACCGGTAAAATGAGCAGATGGAGGACGATGGTGACTGTGCCCACGGCTGCTGCCTGCTCCAGACGTTTTGTTCTCAAATCTGTTCGACCCAGAAGGGGCCTGTTGAGCCCACCCACTCCAGCCATTGTCCCAGTTTTCCCCACAGGACCCACGTGGCTCCCTCCCACAGCAGCCGTGAACGGCGCAGTGACCGTCCCACAGCACAGAAACTGCGCGTCCTCACTGCTGGGGAGCTTCTCTGCTATTTATTTTTCTATTTATGTCTTCTCTCTTCAGCTGGCTGCTCCCTCCCCAGGTGGAGAGGGGACGGCCTGTAGGAAAGGACAGGCTCCTCTCGGTGACGGTCTTGGTTCTCAGGGTGGGAGGCGTACGGACTGCTCCTGCTGCTTTCGCTCCCCTCTTCCTCCCAAGAAGCGGTGCTGGGGGGAGAGCAGGGACCTCTCAGTCTGAGACTCAGTACTCAGTCCCAGCTCTGTGTGTGACTCATCGTGTGATTGGACAAACTACCTAACCTTTCTGAGCCTCGTATTCCTCATCTGACAGAAATGAGGACGATACCTACCTCACAGGGTTGGTGTGAGGATGAAATCGAATACTGTCGCGGAAAACTCCTTGCACAAGGCCAGACATACACAGTAGGCACTCAATAAATGTTAGTTTAGTGTCCTTCCCTCCGCCTGAGTCTATTTTCAGACAAAAGAGAGATTCCAAGAATCTCTCAGGAAAGGTGAACGGAGCTACTCCGGCCCACGTTCTTACTCTGTGTCCCATCGCCCCCGGCCTGCTGCTCTGAAGGTTTGGGTTCTGGCCCTTGTCCTTTTCTCCTGAGCACCCTTAGCCAAGTGCTCCCTGTCCCTTGCTGCGAGGCCCTGGCTGTAGGTGCCGTCAGCAGTGAGGAAGTCAGAGACTCCCTCCTCCCATCACCCCACACATTCCTCTGGGTGACGTGGTGGTCCCAGGACTCCTTCCCTCCCACCCCGCCCTCGCCCCTGCAGTAAGTAGCCACTACTCTTCCAGCTTCCACTTACATATTTCTCAGAAGACACCTCTGACCATTTGTAGAGAGTCAGCACCACACCGAGTAAAATACTGCTGAGAAACAACCCTGGGTAAGATAGAAAGTAGAGGTTTATTGAATAATAGCCTCGCTGACACTTGACAGATGACCTCTCACTTCCAGAACTTTTGAGTTCAAGAGGCCCACCTCTGTCTCCTTTCTGGGCACCCACTCAGGTCCACCCACTCAGCTTGGACTCCGCTCCCACTGGCCACGCTGGCCTGGTGGTTCATTAGTCTGAGGTCATGTTCCTTTCAGCAGCTCGTCACACTCTTGATCCTTCCAGTGGGTGGTCCCTGAGGAGCAGCTTCCCTTTCCTCATCCCTTGTATGCAGGGCTGGCATTTTTCCTGGTTCAGCAGGGTAGGGGAGACACCTCCTGCTAGTGTCTGTGGTCATTAGATGCTGGTGCTGCAAACCGCCTCTGGAATGAATGTGAACCACACGGGCTCGGTAACAAACACCTCCTCCCGACTTAGGTGGCCCCAGAGGCTTTGGATGGATATGCCTTCCTTTAGTCTCACCTTCCTTCTGTTCCTTGAGCATGCTTTTTATTCACCACTGGGGTTTTTCCTGCACTGAGCCCCTCAAGTTGCCAAGCCAGCAGCTGGGAAGCAAGATTGACTAGCCCCCACGTCACCCCTTCTGTGGCTAAGAGCTCACATAGTTCTGTTGGTTGGTGGTGTTCTGGTCTCTGTTCTCACTGTAGAAGACTGAGCAGAAAGGGTTCTTGGAGACGTGTGCTACGGAAGTCCTGTTGGGTGTGAAACACTGAGCTGTGATGAACCAACTGCTTTTTTCTCTGGGCTTCAGTGTTTGCTGCTGTTTTTTCAGTAGCTAATGCACTGCCAGTGAATCTCCATTGTAGTCCTCTCTTCCTCTTGGTTTCTTTGGTTCAAAAACTCGTCTTTATTTCCAGAGCCCCTGCCTCATTAGATGTTTGGTGTTTTGCAGTCTTCATTCTTTGATTCTTCACGAGAGCTTGAGGAAGAACACGTACCACTTTTAACGTTCACTGTTTCACCATTTCGAGTATCTTGGGGATTGAACGTTAATGACCCTGCGTCAGAGTCCCCGTGACCTGTCTCTATATTCGTGGTTCACAGATGGGGCATCGTCAGTAGAAATGTGAGAAATAGACGAGGCAAGTCTGCTTTCTTGGCCAAGCCTCCGAAGCATACATTTCTACCAACAAATAAATGCAGATAACGGGAGTAAAAAGCCCAAAGCCAAATTCATGCATGAGTGCAAATGGATGCAAATTTATTACTACCTGCATCTGTGCATATACATCTTTTTTAAGACACCGAAAGAGAACTATAGGCTTGTTTTTTGTAGTTTTTTTTTTTTAAGGCTTGTTCATTTTTTTATCTATGTGATTAAGTGCCAGCGTGTAGGCTTAAGAATCAGGATTGAACTTGAATCTAACTCCACCAGTAACTTTGGGGGAAATTACTTACCCTCCCTAAGCTCAGTTTTATGTATTTTCTATAAAGACAGGATAATAGTAGCTTTTTAATAGGGCTGCTTTTAAATTACAGTGGACATAAAGCATTTGTTTCGTCCCAGGCAGAGAAGTGCTTCTATCAGAATGTGATCAGCACCAGGAACAGAGAAGTAGACTGACAGTGACATACGCAGTAAGGGTGTTTAGTTATCTTGTGTAGCGGGAGGTCTGGGGATAGATGGTTTCAGGGTTGGGTGGCAGCCACAAACATCATCAGGATTTTCTTGGATCCATTTGTTCTGGCATCCCTGCTGTTGCAACGTGGCTGTTACAGCTCAGCATCATTTCTTCAACTGACAGTGTCCAAAGCCAAAGCAGGAAGCACAGCAGACAGCAATAGAGGAACTTTGTCCTCATTCTGCTCTTATCAGGGAGGGGCGTCCTTCAGAGGCCCAAAGAGACCTGCCCCTGTCTTGTTTGGTAGAGCTGGGCCACACACCCACCTGTTCACATGCCCATCAACAGTGTATAAGAGTTGCTCATGCATTTGTAAAGTTAAATGTATAATCAGGATTCTATTTTTGAACTATATAACATATTGAAGATTGGTTTATATTCTTTGCCCAGTGATTCTTTTTCTGAAATCTTTATGGATCTGGTTCTGTTCATTGCAGTTTTTGCTTGTTTGCTAATTTTTTTTTAATTTTTACTTTTTTATTTTTTTAAACATTCAATTCATTTTTAAATTTTATTTTTTGGCTCGAGGTTTTTTTTTGGGAGGGGGTGGTAAATAGGTTTGTTTATTTATTTATTGTTAATAGAGGTACTGGGGATTGAACCCAGCACCTCGCGCATGCTAAGCAGACTCTCTACCACTGAGCTATACCGTCCTCCTTATTAAGGTATATTTTACATGTCATAAAACTTACCCTATTTGAGTATTTGATAATTTTTCGTTAATTTAATGAGTGGTACAGACATCACCTCAAATCAGTTTTAGAACACTTTCATCACCTTAATAAAATCCCTCAGGCCCATTAACAGTTCATTCTCATTCCCACCTCCAGCCCCAGACAACCACTAGTCTACATTCTGTCTCTGTATGTTTGTCTTTTCTAGACTTTTCTTACTTCTTATAAATGGACTCATACAATATATCGTCTCCTGTGTCTGGCTTCATCTTTTAACATGATGCTTTGAAGTTCCTCCACAGCATAGCAGAATAGTTTGTTCCTTTTTATTGCTCACTCTGTTGTATGTTTACATCACATTTTGTTTATCTGTTCACCAGTTGATGGGCATTTAGGTGGTTTTCAGGTTTTGGCTGTAATCAGTAATGCTGCTATGCATGTTTGCATGCAAGCTTTGTGGAGGCATGTTTTCATTTTTCTTATGTAGTTACCAAGAAGTGGAATTTTTGGTTCCTACAGTAATTTTTTGTTTAACTTTTTGAGAAATTGCCAAATTTTTCCAAAGTGGCGCACCATTTTACATCCCCTTCAGCAACGTACTAGGGTTCTGGCTTCACCACATCTGTTTTGTGTTGGTTTCAGCCTATTGCTAGTGATGCTGGCAGGTAGGAATGCCTTGGAGCACTCACCTGGGCCTGTACTGCTGTGATGAGCCCCCACAGACATTTCCCTGACCACAGCCGATGCTGTGGCTGGCTTGGCCCTTGTGGTTCTTACTATGATTGCAAGACATGTGAGCAACAACTATCAGGGAACTTTGAAAAAGCAAGTCCTAAAAGGTACATGACATGCCTGAAGGCCAAACAGCAAGGTCATGGGGAGAAAGGGAGAAATAGTGTACACACACACACACACACACAAATAGGGAGAGGTAGAGAGAGAACCTGGGGTTCTGCCTTTATTAAGGTTGAGTGGAGTGCCTAGGGTTTTGCAGCTTCAGTCTTCATTGGTGAATTTAAAATCTAGAGCACCGGATGCAGCAGGAACCTGCAGCGGCAGCACCCATGCGGGCACACCTGGTTTGGTGTGACCTGGGTGATACATCAGGGAGCCACACCCCTGGAGACGCCACCTTCCCTTCCGCCTGCGGCTTCCCCCGGCACAAGGAGCCGGAGATGGTGGCCGCTCGGTAGCAAATGAACAAGGCGCAGCTGGTGTTCCAGCAGCGGGATGGCTGTGCGCACTAGCTCACCCGGCTTCTCATGTGTTAAGCTGTCACATTCCCCAACTGCCTGGCCTGCAAGCGGGAGCACCTGGGCTACATGAAACACATGGAGTTTGAAGGAGCAGCGGCTACTGCATCAGCCGCCGAAGGAGAAGGAGGCTGACGTGGCCTTGTAGTGGCCCGTCCACCACTATGTGGACCAGTCAAGAAATAAAAGTCTTCAGGCCCCCCCCCAATTTAATTAATTAATTACCGCAAACCCCCTAAGAGCAGGAATTAGGACATATGAAGGAAAAAGCATGAGCACTCGAGCAGTCAGGGTCACCCAGGCTTTCTAGAAGGGGAGCTTCATGGCTGGGGGTGGCCTGGTTCCTTATCTGGTTATTTAGCTTCCAGTATGTTTACTTGAGATGGATGTCTTTGAGATGGGTGTCTTGGCAATCAAAAGCTTAACATCAGGCGCTTGAATTGCGATCGAAAAAGCTTAATGTCCGGCACTGGCAGTACATCCTTGCTGTTTATTACTGTATTAGCCCGCTAGGGGCGCCATTACAACATACCGGAGACAAGGAGGCTTAAACAAGACGTTTATTTTCTCACAATTCTAGAGGCTAGAAGTCCGTGATAAGGTGCTGACAAATTCAGTTTCTGGTAAGAGCGCTCTTCCTGACTTGTAGACAGCCACCTTCTTGCAGTGTCTTCACATGCCCTTTCCTCTTTGCTTATAGGAAAAGAAAGATCTCTGGTGTTCCTTCCTCTTCTTACAAGGACACCAGTACAATCAGGGTAGGGCCCTACCCTTACGACTTCATTTAACCTTAGTTACCTCCCTATAGGCCCTGTCTCCAAAGACAGTGACATTGGGGGTTAGGCTTATGAATCTTGGTGGGGGTAGGGGGACAAAATTCAGTTCACAACATCCTGCCCTCTGGTTCTCCCAAATTCATGTCTTTCGCACATGCAAAATAGATTCACCCTGACCCAATAGCCCTAAAACTTTTAACCCGTTCCAGCATTAATTCCAAGTCAAAAGTCTCAACTGAACATCATCTAAACCAGGTATGGGTGAGACTTGAAGTCTGATTCATCGTGAGGCAATAATCATCTCCAGCTGTGAAGCTGTGAAGAGAACTATCTTTGCCATGTGAGCTTGTGGTGGCAGTGGCAGCCCTGGTGATGGCTGAATCACCTTTGGGGTTATTCTTCCCTTTTCTTAAAGGATTAAGCATATTAAATAGCTCTATTGTCCTATCCTGTAGAATCCCAGACGTCTGAAAGCCTTCCTTTATTTCATCTAGTCTCTGCTCCCTTTGGCCCAAACTGGCAATGTCTCTGCTGGTATAATCCCATTTTTGCTCCTAGTTTCCTCTGAGATGGTTGATTCACTCCATGGTTAATTATAGATAATCTCCTAATGGAGAGACTGTCTAGCCACACCCTTGGGTATTCTCTCCAGAACAAGCTTTCTCACTTTTGCAATATGGATAGGCTGAGAACTTCCCAAATCTTCAAATTCTAGTTCCTTTTGGCTTAATCTTTCTTCCAATTTATCTTTCTCCTCTTGCATTTTACTATAAGCAGGAAGGAGAGGCCAGGTCACAACACACACATTTGGCTAGCTATCTCCTCAGCCAGAGATTCAAGTTTATCGCTTGTGAGTTTTACCTTCCGCAAAGCACTAGATCACTGCTCAGCCAGGTTCTTTGCCATTTTATCATAAGGATCACCTTTCCTCCAGTTTCTAATAATATGTTCTTCATTTCAGTCTGACACTTCACCAGGAGCAACTTTAACATTTATTTCTACCCACAGCCTCCTTCAAGCGAATTTAGGCTGCTTCTGGCATGTACCTCAAAACTCTTCCAGTCAGACCCATCACCCAGTTCCAAAGCCATTTCACATTGTTATGTATTTGTTAAACCTATTTCATAGTAGCTAAATCTGTACTAGTCACAGTTCTCCAGTGAAACAGAACCACTAGGAAATGTGTAACCTTAATACTAGGAATTATAATATGTGTTTATGGAGGCTGACAAATCCCAAGATCTTCGGAGTGAGTTGGCAAAGTGGAGTTGCAGGAGAGCTGATGGTGTAGTTCTAGTCCAAGTCCAAAGGCCTGAAAACCAGGAGAGCCAATGGTGATGTTCCAGTCTGACAGCTGGTGGGCTCAAAACCCTGGAAGAGCCGGTGTTTCAGTTTGAGTCCCAAGGCAGGAAAAAACTGATGTTTAAGTCCAAAGGCAGTCAGGTATGAAAAAATTCTCTTATTCCAAATAGGGTGAGTCTTCTTGTCCTAGTCAGGCCCTCAGCTGATGGATGAGGCCACCCACGTTAGAGAGGGCAATCTGTTTTACGAGATCTCCCCATTCAAATGTTAATTTTATCCAAAACACCCTTCCAGAAACACTCAGAATAATGTTTGACCAAATATCTGGGTACGTGTGGCCCAGTCAAATTGACACACAGAAGTAACCATCACAGTTACTACCTGTCCTATTTCTTATAGCCATTCTAGTGGGTATAACATGTCTACTTGTGGTTTTAGTTTGTATTTCCCTAATGATTAATAGTGTTGAGCACATTTTCATGTGCTTTTCTCTCATTTGTGTATCTTCTCTGGTGGAAGATCAGTTCCTATCTTTTCCCCATTTTAAAAATTAGGTTGTTTGTCTTATTGAGCCTAATGTGTGTTTTTAAATTTTTAATTTTATTATTACTATTTTTTTATTTTGGGGGGGAGATAATTAGGTTTATTTATTTTTAAATTTTTAAAAATGGAGATACTGGGGATTGAATCTAGGACCTTGTACATTCTAAGCACAGGCTCTACCACTGAGCTATACCCTCCCCACCACATGTGTTTTTAAAATTTAATTTAAACTAAAAAAACTAAAACAATTTAATGGGTTTTGCAATTTATTTTTTCATGTGAGCTCCTGTGTATCAATCAGGATATATGGTCAGAATGGCAGTACTTACTGGGGACAAAGGGCCAGACTTGATGTCATGACTTCCTGGGAGAATCCAGATTGTATATAGTTACAGGGCCATCCTCACCCTGAATTTTGCAGCCTGGCAGGGCCAAGTGGACAGAATTCGGTGTTATGAAAATATCATCTGTAATTGAATTTTAAATATTTTAAACATTATGATACATGTGTGCTACTTTTATTAATCAATATCCTAGGGATGGTTAATTAACAACTGAAGTACCCTGCCAGGAAACATAAACTCCAGGAGAGGTTGATTCGCTTTTGGAAGATTCTAGGCAGATGTCCAAACTTTAGAGAGTTTCAAACATTTTTATTTCCAGTCAACACCAAGACTATATGGATTTTCCTTTGGTGAAATAAGTAGTATTTATTATATATGGATTGGCTAGAAATATTGAGGCCACCTATCTTGCATGACTGGATATAGAAATCTAGGGAACCCAATTCGTATACCCTTTGTAATGGTGCTCTTGGTTTAGATTCCAAGACCGACAGCTTCAGAAATTTTTCTGAGAATTGCTGTTGTAAAGATCTGCTGAATTCTGCCCCAAAAGTATTATTTCCTGGGTATGGAATGAATCTTTCATGCAAGGTTTGGTCAAGGACAAGAAATGGGACTTTATCAAGAAACAGTTTGTATAACTGTTTTGAGCTACTAAATGTTTGCATGGGCAACAGAATTCAGTCTGTATGTTATAACATTGCAAAGTAGGAAGGTTGTGAAGTAGGAGAACGTACATATACTGTTAAAGAAACAACATCTACAAAGAGCGAAGGGGTATCGTGCCAAATAGAT